GGGGGGGGAGGGGCTGCGGCGTTTCATTGTGACTGCGCGAGGTCCACAATGCATTGTGAAAATTAACAGACCGCGCTTCAAGTCGCTCGCGCTTCGTAAAGGGGAAAACCGAGGTTGGAATGGAGTATTCCTCCCGTCGCGCCACGAGGAAATTCTCCCCCGGAGATGTAGTGGACTATTTTTCACTTTTAAGATATGAGCCATCCCGGATGGAGGAGGTGTGTTGGTGTAAGGGGCATATTCTCTTCGCGCTTTAAGGAATGAAAGTACGAAAGGATTTAATGTGAGATAGCCGCTCTATTACACCGTTCTTCTCCATTTCGCGCTGCGTCGCAGGTGGAGAAGACACGTCGTGTCGTATATGGGAGGCGTATTCTTAGCGCCTTTAAGGAATGAAAGTACAAGAGGATTTAATGTAAGATAGCCGCTCCATTACGTCCTTCTTCCCCAACCCGTCACGCAGGGATGGGAATCTTTGTAGGAGAGATCTCCCTTGCCTTACGCCGAAATAATTCGCCGTGTCCTTAGAGTGTACGATTTATTACTGACTTGTACCACTCCGTTTCGCGCACGACGCGCGGTTTCCGATTAACGGATAAAATCTAATTAAATGATCATCCCCGCGCGTTTTCCACAAGAGAACGTATGTACGCGGCGAAGTGAAAGGTAATTAGAAGCGGAATCTCACTTGGCTAATTTCGGACGGGAAGAGGTTCGTAACGCGCGGTTGTTCAAAACTATATGAGACAAAAATTTACATATTATCACGGTCTCTTAAACGTTCTTTATTCATAGCCCCCACCACTTCTTAAAATACGAAGTAAACGTGTCTCGTCTCGGTTTTTAAGCTTTACAGTATCTCGCGGACGTGGACGTACTTCTTGTTTTATTCTCTATTCTTCGGACGCGCCATATATAAATTAAAATGCAGACACAGGCTGACGTGCTCAAGATTGAATCATCTCGCGCCAGCTTCGAAGATTGATCATCGAATTGATTACCATTCGTAAAAAGACTAGACAACGATAATCGATCACCATTTCATTAATTTTATATGTACAGCTAATCTTTTAAAAAGCTGCGTTTATTTAGTAACATAATCAATTTATATGTATATAATTAATGTACATACATACAATTATGATTACATATTAGTGTAATATGTTCTCAATTAACGTAATTTATAGTAATTTAAGTAATTTACATAATAATAATTTAGCTAATTATCACTAGAGAACCGATAAAATTAATAATTTAATTCAGTATATAGTTGAAAATGTTTAATTAATATAAAATTTATATATGTATATAATTAAAAGTTACTCAATTTAATACCTGTTTACCGCACACATTTTATTTGAAACTAAATCAACAACGATATAAAATAAATATTAAACAAAGCTTATTCAATAAATATGAAGTATTAATATATTTACGATTATACACATGCATTATATAAATACGTTACTTTACAATAAAATTACATAAAAAATAAATAAATTAAGAACCCGTGCCACGATGCTTATACGAATGTGATATAATGAATAATGTATTGGAGAAAAATAGAAAATACACTCACCGAGCGGCAGAGTAATCGCCACGAGAAACAGGACGACACAAGCGAGCCTCGCGTGGCTCGCGCGTTTTTTGATGCACATAACGTGACGTTGTTCACACCGCAGCATCCGAATACTTGGACCGTGTCGCGCGGCCGCTCGCGTGGCTCTGAGTGCTTCTCTTTAGATTTCGAGTTTCGAAACGCGCTTCCTCCCTCCTCCAAAGATTTCTCTCTCTCTCTCTCTCTCTCTCTCTCTCTCTCTCGCTCGCTCGCTTCAATTTGGTCCCGCGCGTTACCAGACTCGCGCGCAGCTCCCGGATGCTGCGAGCGGTCCAGCGAAGCGCCTGCTCGATGGCAACCTGTTCTACGGCCTCGCGTGTTGTTCACAGTTGGCGCCACTCGCTTGAGATCAGAAGAGATCGTGGAGAATCGCGAGGCGGCAAAACAGCGACTCTTTTACCATGGAAACGCTATTTTACAGATCCCTTCTTTTCGATCGCTTCGCGAGCGGGACCGACGGTCCTCTTTAAATTATTCCAGGGTTCGATTGCGTATTGCACAACTTGGTGAACATTTTGAAAGTAAGCAATTCGTTCATTTTTGTAATTTTTACTCACCGATAAGTTAATCAATTTAAAACGCTGCTCGGATAGTCGTACGGGTGAAAAATATCGTAAGCTCGATTGGGTTCTTAAAAATTATAAAAAATTGTCATTTCATTAAAAATTCGTCCTACGTGAATTTCTCAATGCACTGATTTCTCCTAATTTATTTATGTCGTTTACGTTTATTCCATGTACAGTCTGTTTAGTAAGAGCGTACTAGGCCTATCTCAAAGAAAAATGGCTTATTAGCTTTAAATTAATATTGATTGTATTTAGTATAATTATGGCCAAAATGCAATTATATTAATAAGAAGTCCAGTCACCGGCTGCATCTATAATAGACTGGCATCTCCGAGGCATACTTTCCACTACAGTCTGTCTAGTAAGAGCGTAGCAAGGCTTACCTATAGTCGAGTAAAGATACATTCTGAATTTTTATTTTCGCCGGTAGGTGTTACCTTTGTGTTGAATGCATTATAAACAAAGTACCCGTTGCTGCTTGAACTGTGTTAGAATAAACGATTTGCTGCAAAACGAATGCGATTTCTTTAGTGGAAAGTATGCCTCGGAGGTGTCAGTCTATTATAGACGCAGCTGGTGACTGGACTTCTTATTAATATAATTGCATTTTGGCCATAATCCTACTGAAATCAATCAATACAAAAAAGCTAATAAGCTATTTTTTTTTTAGATAAGTCTGCTACGCTCTTACTAGACAGACTTTCCGTACGCTCTTATTGAACGGACTGTATATAGCAATAATAAATATAAATTGCGTTACTTTTATTTTCGATATGCAAAAAATGTGTGAAAAAGTAGAGGATAAACGTTTTCCCTCGCGAATTCGGGATGACAGTCCCGTGTCCTTACGTATGCACTTCTGCATGTGCATTGCATACATGGGACTGGACGCCCACATGCGCTGTCGTCCTCGCCGTCGGCTCGACCTAGCTCCTGTAACTCCCTCGGATATCGATCCCCCAGCGGGTTCGCGCGTTTCCAACGACGCAAACTCGAGTTTAAGCCGAGTAGAAGTCACCCTCCCGGCGAAGCTAGTTCATGCCCGGCGCATTACCTCACCCCCGACTGCATCCTCTCCTTCCGTCCTTTCTCTTCCTCTTCCTCTCTCTCTCTCTCTCTCTTTCTCGTTCTCGCTCCGTCTCTGTTCCTGTCCTCCCTTTTCGTCCTCGTGAACAGGAGGCACAGCAATCGGACAGAAGATGAGCGACCAGGAGGATCTGGATTATTACATCATGTTCCCGTCGTTTCCGCCGTCCCCGAAGGACGCGATGTTGTCCGAAAATGGACAGGATCAACGGGAGGAGTTCGTGTTCGTGTACGAGGAGGACAAGCGGCCGGTTGTAATCCTGCTTGGATGGGCCGGCTGTCAGGACCGATATCTGGCCAAATACAGCTCGATCTACGAGAAGAAGAGGTACCGTAAACTGTACTAATGATCGTGCAAATCGCTGGTAGCGTGTGTGATCGAGCTGACACGCATTTAGTTTGTCGGAAGATGAAAAATCCTTGTGTCGAAGAGGCTATACGATTCTACGGTTCTCCAAGTATAACTCGCGTGCGTACCGGGTGCGCATTTAATAAATGGCGTAGAATCCTTGAGAATGATTTTGCGAAAGACTTGCCTCGACTTGTCGTGTCGCAACAATTAAAGTTCTTATCGATTCAACTTCAAACAATTTATATATACACGATAAAATTCGAAGCAGGATTCTATTTCTAATTCCACTGAAATCGAAAATGCAACCATATAATGTAGAACCGGAAATGCTCCATTTTTGTGAGTGCAAATGACGCATTGGATCCGCGCGTGTCGAATTGATCAATTCGATCGCAAATCAGCAATCGACGTCGTTCAACGCCGCGCTCGAAGTGCAATTAATCTCTCGATAGTAATTAACGTCCGTGTTCTCATAGTTGCATCACGCTGCGTTACACAGCGCCGGTGGAGTACCTGTTCTGGCGCCGGGACAAGATGCCTTACATCGGCAAGCGGTTGCTGGAGGTGATCACTGACGAGCGGCTAGACGAGCATCCCATATTCTTTCACGTCTTCAGCAACGGCGGCGCGTTCCTGTATCAGCACATCAGCTTCGCGATGCAGAGGGCCAACACTCCATTCAAGGTAGACTCTTCAACGAGAATCCTTGCGTCTCTTTACGCAAAGTCCGCCAGAACAATTCGCAATTTGTATCATAACTATAATATGCTGTGCATATAATTATACTTAATATACTTTAGCATAATTACTACATTAAGGATATAATTATACCATGTATAATATTATACTTACTGTAGCATATATATTTTATATACGTGGGTGTTTCTAGTTCTTTCAGTATTTTTCGTGTTTTAAACGTAGAATTATGGAATAGAATTTTATCTCAAATTTTGAATCACACACAAGGTCATCATATACGATCTATAATTTTTGTTAGATTTCTTTTTCAAATGTTACATATATTTTTATTTGTAATTTTTATGTCGTGATTTTGATATACGCTGTTTGAGGTATAATATTAATATATTTTAGTGTATATTTTTTATATAGATTTGTATTCCGATTCCTCTATTGTTTTTTTTACTACACAACCCAATAAATATTCAATAACTAGTAGTAACATAATTGTGTTATAATTTCCCACTCGACAAATTTTAATATAACACTTTTTGTACGTAACTTATACAAGTTACATTATAAATTATATTATAAACAGTTATATTGTTGAGTAGGAAACTTTGTAACTAATAATTATGTTACTATTAGTTAATGTTTACTGGATTGTATAATACAGAAAAGAAAGAAGAATTAAAAACATTATTACAAAATGTAAGATTAAAATGCAGACACGCATATAAAAATATATACTGTGTAAAATTACAAATTCTACATTCCAGACACAAATTGTAAAGCATTTAAAGCGGAGAAGATAGAGAATGTTTACAGAGTAATCGTTCTATAAAATTATTTTATTAAATAATAAAATAATTTTATAGAACGATTAATAATTTTATAGACTAAATTTTTCGTGTTTATTTCTTTATATTATTGTAACGTGTTTAAATTTTATATATTAATGTTAAGATGATATTCTTTGTTTCTTAATGTTAACTCTCATTCGCCTTTATATCTTTGTGTTGTATCGAGAGTCCTTTATTTTACACTATTTTTAATTATTTTATTTGCTATCGATATATTATATAAGAATTTCTAACCGGAATTTCAGATCAGGGGAGTGATATTCGACAGTGCACCCGGCGAGAGGAGAGTAACGACACTTTTCAAGGCGATCAGCGCGATTATCGGCGGTCACCCCGTCACGAACCTACCAATGTCGCTCGTCATCACGTTCTTCCTCTCCGTACTCTGGTTCTTCGAGGTAAACGAACGCCATGTTGACACTCCATGATTCTCATTGTCTCGACGAACATTTATAGCGAGCATGAAACGATCGTAATCTTCATTAATTGCCAAACACGTCCGACACGATCTCATCGCAAACGTATGTTTGTCAGGGCGGCGTACCATATCATGTCCATAGATCGGATCATTTCAGAGCTGTACCGACGCCGTACAGTTTATATGTCGATTTATGATCGTCAGGTAATTGCGCAGGCTTTTAGCAGAACGCCTATCCCAACGAACCCGATCGCCCTCGTGGAGGAAGCCTATTCGTGGCCTCAGCTGTTCCTTTACTCCAACAGCGACACTCTGATCCCGGCGTCGGTAGGTTTTCATTTTTTGTAGTAACACCAACAGTAACGTAACATCAATTGTTTAATAATTTTGCACTCAGCAACGTAACTTTATATATATTTCGTATTTCTGTTGAAAAGGTCCACTCAATTAGCACTTTATGTTGAACTTTTTAACATATTTGAGTTACAAATTAATAAAAAGAATTAAGGACTCGTTATATAAAAATAAGCAGTATGATGTCAAGGGCGATATAAGAGTCAAAAAGATTTTTGTTCAACAATAAAATATATAATTAGTCACTAATTTAAATAATTAATTTAAACATTGCTTAACACTAATTCGCTTTCAAACAATTAACTATGATAATAAAAATATAAATAAGTATTAATAAATATAAATATGTTACAAGTTTCGGCTCTCTATTTATTAATACTTATTTATATTTTTATTATCATAGTTAATTGCTTGAAGGCGAATTAGTGTTAAGCAATGTTTAAATTAATTATTTAAATTAGTGACTAATTATATGTTTCATTGTTGAACAAAAATCTTTTTGACTCTTATATCGCCCTTGACATCATATTGTTTATATTTGAGTTAATTTAATATAAATATGATTATGTTATTTAAAGATTTTGTGTTAAATTGATATTTAACACTTTTAGTGGAAAAATAATATAATTTATATATAAATAAATAAATAACATAAAAATAACGTGCTTTAAAATATAAATTCTTTTATTCTAAATGAATAGAATACATGTTAATTTCACATATCATAAATGTTAGTTTAACTAAAAAAAAGTATGCTTTTCTTTCACTCCAGTTTATTAAAATTTTGTTAAAGAGACAAGAAGAGACATACGTAGAAAAGAGGACACAAAAGAGCTTAGTTTTTATTATACATATATAAAATTAGTAATTAAATGTATATTGTCATTATTAACAATCCTAGATGTAACGAGAAGGATCTTGTTATAAGGGAGATTCTGTCTTTCGTCAGGATGTGGAGAAGTTCGCCAGCCGGCGGGCCGAGAGGGGTGTGCGGGTGCAGCTGGTCCTGTTCACCAATTCGCCGCATGTCAAGCACTACACGACCTACCGCGACGTCTACGTGAACACCGTGTGCAGCTTCATTCACGAATGCCTGATCTCGCCGAGCCCGTCGAGAAGCCTGCTGGCCCTCGACCACGGCGACGAACACGGCTCTCAGAGCTACGACGCGCTGCCGGATCTCACGAAGCGTGTCGTGTTGCCTCACGAGGCCAGCAAACAGCTAAACTAGTAATTCGGAGAAGACACTAATAGATAAAATTATAGTTGCCCGCTAGAGGATCGCGTTGGTGGCACGCGCGACCTCGCGGGTATAAAGGGAGAGAGGATCGATGATTTATTACGTCTACATTTTACGGACTAAACAGTCTACAAGGAAAGGAGTGAACTCGAAGGAAATACCAGAATCCACATTTTGCGCAATCACGATCTCCCAATCTCCGTAATTGGAAATTGCTCCTCAAGCTGCTAAATTCTTCCCCTCCTATCGTTTCTTTGTACTTCCGTCTATTCATTGCGATTCCAAGACGGAAGAATCGTATAATTATTAATTAGGACAGAATCGACTTTTTATTACAATAAGCAAAGAGCCAAGGAGGAATGTTTGCGATGGTAAAACCAAAAAGGAGTCCAAACATTTTGCGGAATAGTTTCTGATCTTGAAAGATTGAGAGGTTGAGATTTCGCTGAATACATTTCTCGCGGTTCGTTCAGTTCACTCGTTTCACATAGCAAAGAGGCGACGTCCGAGATGCTGGAAACGGTGCTACGTTCGTTAATGTACCGAGCTATTTTATATAAAGTTGATTATCATTTTGGAACGAAACGTTATTCAAATAAAACTGTGGATTTTTTAATGAGCCGAGCGAGAAAATAGATACGTGGTGGCGTAAGAGCTTTCAAATTAATTGTACTTTGATGTGTATTTCGATGACTATTCGTATAAGCTTAAAAACATGAAGATTTTAATCTTACTCCAGATTTTTTATTTCTATATGCAACTCAAATGTCACAAACATACATACGTAACACAGAAAAATGCAAGTAATAAGGGTTTGTTTCAAGGTTTTATTTCAAAAGTTCATATATCCGCAACTCTATCATTCGTTACAAGCATTAAATTTATTCAAAATGTATATGTATACTGAATCTTAGTAAGTTTAATGTTTTAATCAAGATTATTTTAAAAATGAAGAGAATATACAGGACTCTTAATATTTAAATAACAAAAATAGACGAAGGCATATAAGAGTCAAATACAAAATTATAGACAGCAAAATCATAACATAATAATAATAACTTTAATTACAGAGTCAAAAAATATATATATAAAATATTACCTACTAATTTCTAAAACGCTCGCATGAATATTATTAAATTCTAAATTAAAAAAATCAAAAATAGAAAAATAGAAAAACATTACGTTTCGGCTCCATATTTGGGCCCTCCTCAGATGTACAAAAAATTAATAAACGCAGTAAAATTAACAAAATTAAAACGATAATGGAATTATAGACGGTCATGTTCGAAGAAAGTTGAGTATTTTCTCAGAGGGAACAAAAGAAGAAATTAGTAGGTAATATTTTATATATTTTTTTTTGACTCTGTAATTAAAGTTATTATTATGTTATGATTTTGCTGTCTATAATTTTGTATTTGACTCTTATATGCCTTTGTCTATTTTTGTTATTTAAAGATTATTTTAATTTATTAAAACAAATTTGATTTACTTATTATATGAAATTGCTTCTCTTTAATCAATTTTATAATATTCTTCAAAAGAAAATAAATTCTTGTCTTGAGTACATAATAATGAGTTCTTTTAAAATTTGTAATAAGTATATTTCAAGATTATTTTGAAGGTAAGATTCTTTGTAAGATAAATATGATAGTAATCACTTTTCTTAACAATACAGAATGATATTTTTTGTGTGTACTCGCTGGTTATTTATTTTCTACGATCTGAAAATTTTGTAAGACTCCTCACGATATTGCTGTCACAACCAATGCAATTCTTAGTGGGTTCAGAATCGAGATTTCTACGGTCAAGTTGTGTGCACTGTTTGCGGCATCATGAGCCTTGTCAAAAATTTTCTGATTTTTGCTGAAACCGCGAAGGAACCGATAGTATCCACATCCTCTCTCTCTCTCTCTCTCTCTCTCTTTCTCTTTCTCTCTCTCTCTCTCTCCTTTGCCTTAGTCCTTTACGTTTTCTCAGCTTGATTCTTCTTTCGAACTTTTCTGTTAACTCATTTCGCCACCGCGTGTCCGAATGACCGCCGTTTTAGAAGCTCGCAAGCTCGTAGAGACTCGAATTCGCATACATTCTATGTATACAATAATCCGGATAAGCGAATCTCTCGCTTGTTGGACAGTTCTCGTGCACGTTCTCCTTCGCGAAGGTGTCCGAGGACTAATTATTAAGAGAAATTTTTAGAACAAGATGGATAACATTTGATAGAAAATTGTACGTAATATCGCGCAATATGTTCACCGCTTATACGCTCGCGCTCTTTCCTACGCAGCGGAACAAAGAAGCCGCACAAAAGAATCAAGCTGGACTTGATTTAGCTTTTATGCAAATCCGAAAATGCATGGCATTTAATATCGATACGGAAAAGAAGAACGCAAGATTTTTTCCTTGTGTCTCGAATTATATCGGTGATAAACTTTCGAGAACGCTCGAGGTGCTCGAGTGTATAGTTCTGTATCGTTAATATCTCTTTACATATACACATATATATTTAAAAATAATATAAATATATTTTGATCTGTCGATTAGTTATACGAATAAAGACTGATAAATAAAACTAGAAAACCTTTTGTTCCTTTTCTATTAAACGAATGAATGTATATCCGAATTCGCTCCATCGATATTTCAATGTTCTTTTTTTTTTAAATAAAGTCGGGTATTGATTTTGATATTTTTTTATGATCAAACATGAATGAAGTTGGAAAGCTTACGTCAATGTGTAATACGTAATACGTGGTTTTCTCATTTTTAAAAAGCCAGCGTTGCTTGGCTCTTAACACCTTTGTTAAAAATATACATATACATATAAAAATAATATAATTTGTTATTTATCTAAAAGCCGGATATATGTAGTTTCGCGAAACACGTTTTGAAAAAGAACATTCAAAAGAGACACGCCAATTTCTAGGTCAACGTGGATCAAAACCATTTTCGAATCGTTTCGTATTCTTATTACGTCTCATTCTCTTTCGCCGTGAATCTAAACACTGCCTGTACACAAAATTGTGAGAAGTATAATAGAATTAACGGCCTGTCTGTTTTTCTGGAAAAAGCAGAACGGGAAGAACAGGAGAAGGCATTGCTAGAGCACGCGGACGTACCAAAAGACAAATTTGCTTCTCTCTCCGGGACAAAGTAAGAAAAGAGATCACGTATGCGTTTAAACGTAAACGTATGTAATTATACATGTAACATGAATTAATTTCCAGTATCTTTAAAAAATCGCGTCGACGTAATCAGAGCAAAAGCAAAAGAACGGCTGATTGTGACAAGGATGGAAATAAGCTGTGCTCAAAGGAACACATTTGCATGGATACTTATGCAAAGTAAAATTTCTATCTTCTTACACTTTCTTACTAAACGAGAATACACGTTGACTTTTATACATCTAAAATGTTTAAATCCGCGCAGAACGCGTCTCGCTAAAATCTATGGCGAGAAATTTCGAGAATTTCCACGGGATCTGAAGGCGCACGGCGATCAAAATAAGAATAATCTGAATTCTCATTATGATAAATTGGACGGTAATCGAAAATTACAAGCCGATGCTGTTTCGAATAAAACTGAAGCAAAACTCTTGAATAAAGATATTCCAGGAGCTAAAGTAAAACGTGATATTGTACGTTTTTCTATTGTTTAAAAATTTATTTAAATCCATAATTGAGATACATAATTAATATCTCATGCCAAAAAATAATAATTTACATCCCAAGTAGCAAAGTGATATCTAATATAGGCCTGTTCTTTTTAATTGAACTTCATCTTTCTCTTTTTCGTTTCACGCTAGAGAGAAAGAGAAAAGAATAAACTATACAAAAAGTTCAACGAAAAATAACAAACTCTTGTTATTTTTCGTTGAACTTTTTGTATAGTTTATTCTTTTCTCTTTCTCTCTAGCGTGAAACAAAAAAGAGAAAGATGAAGTAAAAGATGACGTAGTGATGTCTATAGATCAAAATAGGCTCTTTTAATGTCATTTTGTGCTACTTGAAATTATTATACAATAGTCTTTTTTAATTTATTTCAAGAATGTTGGTTACAAATTTGTTAATGCTAATCAAATATTAATAAAAATATTTTCCGAGATAGATAGCAGAAAATATAACGAACCAGGGAAAAAAATTGCCTGTACGTTCCATAAAAAGAATTCTGGCGACCAGCAATTTCGTCTATGAATTTAATCCATTTGTCAATACCGAGCAGTCACGTCCGTTAACATCACAGACTAATTTGTGCCGCAAAAATAACTCTGCGCAAACATTATCTCAATCTAAGACAGGTATGAAACTAACTAATTAAATTAAACATTGTCTCTTTTTCGAATTTTTAAGTTATTACACGTTTTAAGATTTGCATCATAGTCGATAAAAATACAGACTGTGTTCTAAAATTTACTGCCAGTACTGAAAATCTACAGTTTACGTCACTGGATTTTCAGTGTTGGTATAAATTTTGAAACACAGCCACAGATGATATTTGGATACTACAGATAAAAAATATTTAATTCAAAATTTTTTACATTTTTCATCCGTATGTAATATTTATTACATAGACTTTTTGAAACGAAGATCATCCGCTGTCTTGCCGGAATTAAAGTCACATATTGATTTCGTGACAATTGATCCAGATTCAAATGTAACAAATTCTTCCTCAACAAAAGATACTTGTCTTCCAATACTTGATACTGGGAACCCAACAAGGATACTAAACAAACAAGTTGACAAAGAATGTAAATTTCTATGCTTTTATCGAATAACTTCGTTCGTTCTTCAAATTTTGTTTCTAATTTCGTTTCATGCCTTTTATGTGTTTTGTTAAATTATATAATTTTTTAAAATTATAATTTAAAATTAAACTTCGATCGTTCATACTTTAGTCGAGCAAGACGATATAGATCGCGAAGTGGAGAAAGTGAAGTCTGCGTGGCAAGTATTACGAGGGGAAAAAGACTGGACGAAGGGCAAGGATCACGTTGACAACGTCCGAACGAAAAAACTGTACGAGATGCTGGAAAAGATGACGTGTGAGATAGACAGAGTTCAGAGAAATTACATGGATCCCAAAGCAAATCATTACTTACACAAAAGCGCAAACAACGTTCTCAAAACGAGCAGCAAACCAAGTTTACAGGAAGAAGCTGAAATTGTGAGAAGCTTGATCTTTCCCGACAGAAAAGCGAGAATTAAATCAGCAATTTCTAATCTGAGAAACGTCGATAGCGAAATAATTGGTAAAGATATGGCCAGGGTACGATTTGACGAAGATCTAGAAAACGTTTTAACGGATAAACAACCAAGTAAGAATTTCCTTTCGTCGAAATATGCCGCGAAAAAGCGGTCTATACATACTGAAGCGGACGAATACGACATCGCCAATGATATTCGATCAGTCCATACAATTGCATCGAATATCTGTAATAAAAAGCAAGATACAACTGTTACAGATATGACGAAGCCAAAATTTACAGACGACGGCAAGATAAGAGCAAAGATAAGATCTTCCATCGAAGAATATCTGCGACATCACACTGACTATATTCGTAAATCATATGACATCGAAGAGAAAAGAGAAGAGTATTCTCGAAATGTAAAACCATCGGTAAGTGATATCGAAGATATTCTAGCGAGTCATAATATCGGACCGCACGTGTTGTATGAAAATTTCGAAAGACAAAGCGACAGCTACAATTCGGAAAATTACGCAAGCGAGGACGATGCATGTCGCTCTTGCTCGAATACTGCAACAAATGCCACACAAGTGACAACATCCGTTGACACTATCCAAGAGAATAGAAGAATTCATGATATGTCCCTCGAGAATACGGGATTATATAACGATAGACAATCGACGAAAGTGGTTGATGCAAAACCTTTCAATATTCGGAGACAGTCGAGCGTAACAAATTTCCAAGATAACGCCTTCGTTAAAATGGGTTTAAACGAAAATTTATCGAGAGACACGCTGTCGCAAATATTGCAGTCGGAATACTTGAGAAAGGACTTATCTTTATAATATCTGCTGTACGTGGCAGAAATATCATTAATATATATATGTATTTTTATTCTTATATATATAAACATTATTAAATTATATTTAATTGTTTGAAATTTTATCATTTCGTAAGTCTTGTTCTCATTTTCCAGTTCTTACAACACGTAAGTGAACAGATCATCTCTCTTTCTCTCATGTGCTACAATATTTTAAAAATATATAAATTTGAAAGTTAAAATTTTTCTTTTATATGTACAGTCTTACGTGTTTTATAGAATATATATTTTATATCCTAACTATATAACTAAAAATTTTAATTTTTATTATAACATCACAAAATGTTTTCCGCTAATTCTTGAGTGATACAATATATATATTAAGGTGTATGAGTTTCATAAATGTGTCTTGTATTTCACAATTAGTTGTTTAACTAATTCCACTCTTTCCATCAAGTTATGGCACTGTCTGTCAAAATCACACTTTGTTGCTTCAAAAGAGATAATAAAAAATTTATTTAAGATATAAATAAAGCATCATGATATGTCTTCGACTGGCCGATTCGCGATGACGAAACGCATCACATCAACATTCTTGTAAACGTTCATAGCTACCTTATTGGGAACCATTCAAAATAATCTAAAAGTAAACAGGCGTCTTAGTGTTCTCAACGAACACTTTGCAACCTCTTCTTCCTTTTCAATAACAAATAATCGCTAGGTGAGATTTAGAACATATCACAACACTGGAAGCGCTGAACTGTGGCTTTGGTATATTATAGCCCCGGTGAAATTGATCGCTGCCGCTAACACGAAAACCGGCATCCACCAACCGTGCGAGGCAGTTACTAATTCAGCTGTCAATGGTCCACAGAGAATTCCAGGTACTGTTGCCTGAGAATCAAGATATACGCGACACAGGTAATATAATCAACTTTGTGGCGATCGTATTTTGACTTATTTTTTAGGCAAAACAATACATACGATTGTATTTGAAACCGCAAACGTAATTCCCGCATGATTCGGAGCTATATCCGCATGATTACTTAAGTGACCAGCTGAATTGCACGCACAGAGGCCCATGGATATCGAAACGAAGCTGTAAGATGACATTTTCATAAAGAAAAAAATCAAACAATAGAAAACATAGGAATAATGTTGTTATACATACATGACTGCAGCAAGCAGATTATCTACAGCACAGAAAGCTAATAAAAAAGCACCTGGTCCTATTAGGCCTATGTTTGTCATTAATCTTCTAACGGACAAAACAGACCATCTTTTTTGTATCAATGTGTCAGCACTATGACCCGCAACTGAAAAAAAGAGGATAGTTTAAAAATATATTTAAAACAAAGTGCAAAATATATATAATTATATACTTACCAATACCGATAAGAGAATTAACGATATAAGGAAGAGCTGTTAAACTGATGCTCTCTGTATTAGCAGACAAGTTTCTTGCCAAATAAGTTGGCAGCCACTGCATTATTATATAATTACTCCAATTCATCGCAAAGTGTGCTATATACAAAGCCCATAGCGGCCAATGAGCAATAAACTCAGTCCAACGTAAGCTTCTATTCTGAGCTACCTGTCAATCGATTATAAAAACGTTAGTACCAAAGAAATAATTGAGAGTGAATTAAATGTCAGACAGAAGTTTACTTTAGGAACAAATAACGGAATCTCATCTTGAGAATTAGTTTCTTGATATAGCATCAGCCACAATACAGTCCATACGATACCTATTGTCCCAAATAAATAAAATCCAGTTTGCCACGCCAAGTGCGAACATACCTAACGAATAGAAAGACATACAGTTTATAGAACATAATTTTTTCATAATTTAACGTACATTTTGAGATTGAGACTTACAACAGATGCGACCACTTGACCAACAGAACCAGCAGCTACTAGATAGCCAAAAGCACGTGATCTTTCTTCTACAGGAACATTATGTGCGAATAAATGAAATATCACTGGTAGGCCTACAAACAATCTCAAGTTAACTTCTAATCTCAGAATGTATTAATACTGTTCTGTGCTGTAACTAAACTTCTTGTATCTCTTTTTCTTTTCTTTTCTTTACAGAAAAAGAAGGATGAACGATGCAAGAAATCCAGGTAAAAAGAATAGACCTTTGTTTTTTTTATCTCAACTTTTTGCATTGTTCATTATTTTCTAACATGGAGAGATAAAAAGGAGAAATGAACCAAGGATTAAAAAGAAGAGGTCTCAAGTGTATTCTTTTCCAAAGAATGTTTTGAACTGCAAGTAAATAATGGGGAGTAGTAAATGTTTTGAATAAGTTGAAGTGAAACTAGTTGTTTTACTTCAACTTATTGCACCAGTGTATACCAATTCAAAACATATTTCAAACAAAAACAGACCTCTCTTGTCTCACATCTGTTTCAAATATTCCATTCCCCAAATAGCACATATTCTGAGGATATTTTATAGATATTTTGATTATAATAAAATTGGTGATTAGATCCATCTAATTTCATTTCATGTAAGTCTTCACTTTTTATAATTTACTTTCTATGACAACTCTCACATCACAATTGTATATTATATTGTATTTTCCATAATTATTCTTACATTAAATTAATATATACAGTATACTACCAAAAATGAAAAACAAAATTATTATTTTATATAAAGCAATTCATTTACCATATATATTTCACAATCAATTCTCACATAAATCTATTGTATAATTAAAAATAACATCATTAATTTATACAATTCACACGATAATTAAATACAACATTGTTAATTTATTAAGCAATTAAACTCATTTTCATCATATTGTAAAGTGTTCCAGGCAGCACAATGACATGTAATAAATTAGACGTTCACTTTGATAAGGATCCAAACTAGGATCGAAACGTAACTGTACATTTCTACAATAAACTCTTTTCCACATCATACCAACATCAAGTTATTGACTCGACTAGGCATCATTATTCCTTATTTATTTTGATTATTGTTTTCAAAGAAGAAATGAATAGAAGCAGGAACATCCTAAGTATATCTTGTGACATTTGTAGACATTATCCTCAAAATATTCACAGAATATCATATGCCATCTGGGTCCTTCGTTATCCTTACCTAATCCTTCTCCTAGTCCTAGAAGCACTCTACAGAGTATGAGTAATGGTACTGATTGTGCTAGTAACGGTGTGATGACCGTGCTAATGGACCACAGCAAAACCGCTAGCATAAGTACCGTTTTGCAGCCGAAACGACTCGCTGTGCTCGCGCCGATGATCTTGAAGGAGAGAATGACGCATTATAGGCGCTGCATTTTCATTCAGCGGTGACGCAAAGCGTACGAATCGTTTACCTGACTAGTGAAGTATCCGAAAGCAAACGCAGACAGGATCCATCCCTGCCAGTACAGGTTCCACTTGAACTCGTCGGTCATCAGCACGATGGCGATGGGCATGATGACCCTGTCCGCGGCGTTTATGAAATTCGCGGCCGAGCAGAGGGCGACGATGCGCGACGTGCGCGGCAACATCCTGAATTTTGCCATTGCCGATCTTCAGGCCCACTGTTAAAATCAACCAATTTCAACGACCGCCAATGATCATCGCATGGCCCAAGCTCGGCACGTTCCTGGTCAGCTGATCTTGCCTCGCTTGTGACAAGCTGAACGCGTGCCAGCGGAAAAACGAGAGAACGTCGACCACGTCGACAAGTACGAGCAAACGTGTCGTTTGTGGAGCACTGCTGGAGAGCGCACAAATTTCTAACCTCCACACTGTCGTAGAACTACAAACGTTCTACGATGATGTGCCGTTTGTACGTAACGGTAAACCGACCGGGATTGCATTTACGCGTCCGTTTCGCATAAATAAACACTTTGCGTCAGTGTTAGGAATCGCAATTAAATGTCATTACTTACGACGAGGACGCGGCGAGACATACAGGAGCACCACGGCGACACAGTTTGACGTGTCAAGTCAACACGATTCACGATCAATCCAAATATTCCCGACAGAGGGAAGCCTAAGTCCTGAGAATGTAGAGTCTCTAGAGAATGGTCAATGCATTGTCCTCGTTCATAATTCATTAGTAAATTCAACTCAAGTAGTCAATCTTGTAATATTAAGCTAATATATCCATATCCCTAACATTTAACTAATTAACTAATATAAATATATTTTGCCAATATATATAAATTATAGTTGCTAATATAGCTTAGGAATTATTTGCTGTGCGCGCCTTGCCTGCGAATTTAACGAAATTAGTCTCATTCGACGCGTTTTTGCATGAAACGAAAGAATCTGACAGACAAAAGAAAGAACTAAAGTACTATAAAAATAAAAAATTAATTAATTAATAAAAAATTAAATTAATGATAATTTATCATTACATAAAAATTAATGTACAGAAATATAAATAATTCGATACAATTATAATGACTTATAACACAATCAAGTATATATACTGATTAATTAAATATGTATAATAATAAATACATTTGGAAAGGAGGTAATTCACATCAAGCTATTTATCGACTATACTGATATGCAGGGTTGGGTAAGTTACTTTTTTTTTTAACTAAGTTAAGTTAAATTAAAGTTAACAACCTTGAAAATTTAACTTAGTTAAGATACAAGTTAATGTATAATGAAATTAATTGAATTAAAAGTTAAGTTAATAAAAAAATGTAATTGAAAAGTTAGAAGTTAAAAATTCATTTTTTTCATGATTTCAGGGTTCAGTCTTAATAATAACGGGTGACAATAAAAAAAACTATTTAGATTTTAGAACATATCCAAAATTTTTATATTAATTTTTTTTATAATAATATATATCTTTTTTAATAATATGTTTTGTTTCTATATATACTCGGTTTTATATATAGATATATATATTCTATTATTAATGTCAACACTCATTGTGTTTTTGCACAAAATCTCAAACTCTTATTATTAGAACCGAATAAATGCAACAGCAAACTACAAATGACTACAAGCTATTGCAAGCTGCAAATCCTGCGAGTTAAGC